TCTTGGCAGGTAGACACCCAAGTATTATATACTGTCTTCAATGATTTTAAATGGAATTTCTCTATCTCTTCTTGTTAAGCTTTGTTAATAATATATAGAAATGCTGATGATTTTTGTGGGCTTAATTTTTATATTTGGCAACTTTGCTAAAGTTGTTAATTGTTTCAACTAGTTTTTTTTTTAGTTTATTCTCTAAGGTTCTCTGAGTATATAAACATATCTGCAAAGAGTGATAGTTTTATTTCCTCATTGCCTATGCTTATTCCTTTATTTCTTTTTCTTATCTTATTGCTATAGCTAACATTTCTTGTACAATACTGAATAATAATGGTGATAAGAGAACCCTTGCTTCACTCTTGATCTTATTAGAAAGGCTTTCTAGTTTATCCCCCATTAAGATACTTGTTCTTGGTTTTAGATAGAAACTCCTCGTTATTTTAAGAAAGGCTACATTTATTCCTGTGCTTTAGGAATAGGTGTTACATTTTGTCAAAACTTTTTCTGCATCTATTTATATAATCATATTAGTTTTTTTGTTTTTGTTATTGATAATGGACACCCTTGATTCACCACTAATCTTATTGGAAAGATTTCTAATTTATCCCAATTACAGATAATGCTTGTCCTTGATTTTAGATAGATACTATTTATCATTTTAAGAAAAGCTCCATTTATTCCTCTGCTCTGGTCTTTTTAATTAGGATGGATGTTGTATTTTGGGTTATCTATTGGTATAATCATGTGATTTTTATTGTTATTGATATGGTAAATTATGCTTATAGTTTCCTAATATTGAGCCAGTCCTGCAGTCTTGGTATAAATCCAGTCTGGTCATCATGTATTATCTGTGTGATATTTTTGTAATTGTTGCAATCTCCTTGCTAGCATTTTATTTAAATTTTTGCATCAATAATCATTAGAAAAAATTGGTCTATAGTTTTCTTTCTCTGTTTTTCCTGGTTTTATTATTAAATCTATGTTTGTATCATAGAAGAAATGTGATGGTATTTCTCCTTTACATATTTCTTTGAATAATTTATTTAGAATTGGAATTAATTTTTCCTTAAAGTAGCATAGTTTTACTATTTCCCTCTGTAACTCATTCAACTTTTCCTTCAAGAATTTGGATGCTATGCCATTTGGTACATATATGTTCAGTAGTGATGTTAATTTTATTGTCTAGGATACCTTTTAGCAAAATGTAGTTTCCCTGATTATCTCTTTTAATTACATCTATTTTTGCTTTTGCTTTGCCTAAGACCATGATAGCTACCCTTGCCTTTTTTACTACAGCCAAAAGATAACATATTGCGCTCCAGACCATTATTTTAACTCTGTGAGTGTCTTTCTGTTCCAAGTGAGTCTTTTGTAAACAACATATGTTGGGTTCTAGTTTCTAATCCATTCTGCTATATTCTTCCATTTGATGGGTAAATTCATCCCATTCATACTCACAGTTATGATTACTAAATGCATATTTACCCCCTATCCTATTCTCTTCTATTTAGCCTTCTCTTTTTACTGTCTCTTCTTTAAAGGTCTGTTTTGCATCCTGATTGTTGCCTCCCTTAACCAACCCTCCCTTTTATCACCCTCACCCCCTTACCTTTTGCCTCTTCCCCTTCTACTTCCCTCTTGAGTAAGCTGAATTTCTATCCTCAACTGCGTGTGTATACTTCCCTTCTTGAACCAGTTCAGATGAGAGATTCAAGCATTGTCCACTTCCTCCACTCTATTTTCCCCTCCGTTGTAAAAACTCTGTGTACCTCTTTTATGAGATAAATTTCCCCATTCTTCCTCTCCCTACCCCCTTTGCCTCTTTCTCACTTTTCTATTCCTTTTTTGAGATCACCTCAACAAGATTCGCACCTGTGCCCTCTGTCTAATTAGATTCCTTTTAATTGTCCTAATAATGATAATGTTCTCAGGATTTAGATAGATCATCTTCCCTTATAAGAATATAAACAGTTCAGTCTTGATAAGTTCCTTATGTTTTCTCATTCATATTTATCTTTTTATTCTATTGTGCTTGAATGTCAAATTTTCTATTCAGCTGGTGTGTTTTTTTCATCAGGAATATTTGGAAAAAGTATTTGATTAAAGGTCCATTTCCTCCCACCTCCCTCCAGTACGATTATATTCAGTTTTGGAGAGTAGACTATTCTTCATTGTAATCCTAACTTGTTTGCCTTCTAGAATATCATATTACAGGTCCTCTATTCCTTTTTAGTGATAATTGCTAAATCCTGTGCATTCCTGACTGGCTCCATGGTATTAGAATTTTTTGTTCCAGGCTGCTTTCAGTATTTTCTCCTTGACCTGGGAGCTCTGGTTTTTGGCTATAATATTCCTGGGAGTTTTTATTTTGGGATCTCTTTCCCAAAAGGAGGTGGTCAGTGGATTCTTTCAATTTCTCCTTTGCTCTCTTGTTCTAAGATATCTGGGCAGTTTTCCCTTGATAATTTCTTGAAATATGATGTCAAGGCTCTTTTTCTGTTCATGGCTTCCAGTTAGACCAATGATTCTTAAATTATCTTGCCTTGATGTGTTACAGGTCAGTTTTTCCTTTGAGATATTTCACATTTTCTTCTTTTTTTTATTCTTTTGACTCTGTTTTATTGTTTCCTGATATCTCATGTCATTAACTTCCACTTGCACATTTCTAATTTTTAAGGAGTTATTTTCTTCAATGAGGTTTTGTACCTCTTTTACCATTTGGTCAATTCAGATTTTTAAGGAGTTGTTTTCTTCAGTATATTTTTGTGCCTCTTTTATCAAGAGGTTGATTCTTTTTTCATAATTCTTTTTGCATTGCTCTCATTTCTTTCCCCAATTTTTCTTTTACCACCTTACTCGATTTTTAAAATCATTTTTGTTTTATTTAAAAATCTCTTTCCTTAGATCTTCAAGGAATTCTTGTTGGGCTTGTGTCCAATATGAATTTTTCCTTTAAGGCTTTGCTTGTAGATGTTTTCAAGTCACTGTCATCCTTTGAGTTTTTATCTTGAGCTTTACTGTCACCATAGTAACTTTTTATGGTCAAGTTCTTTCGTTGTTATTTGATCACTTTCTAGCCTATTTCTTGACTTTGGAATTTGTTAGAGTTAGGCTCTGCTCACTTCTGGGGTGTGGGGAGAGAGATGGGGAGAATAGGGTAGTGTCACACTTGAGTTTCTGACATTTCTGTCCTCCTGCTGTTCTCACAGCTCAGCAGAAGCCTGAAGTTTTCCATGCTCCAAAGTGGTGTGATCTGGGGAGAAGTCTGATTTCTCCTGGTCTGTGCTCTGCTCCTTTTTATCCATGTAGCGCCTCTGCTCCTTCATAATCACCACTGTTCCTTTCTACCCTGGAATTGTGACCTGAAATGGGTGACAGAGTGGCTAAATGGCACCAGATCCTACTCCCAGTGCTAGAACAGGTGTGCCCAGGGATCTCTATTTGACCATACGTTCAGTTCCCTTAATATTTTTGGGACCCAGTCTGCTCCTGGTGCTGCTGCTTCTGGCATGGGATACCCCTCGCCAGCCATCACCCCAGTGTCTGCAGATCTGTTTTTTTGTCTTCCTAAGCTGCTCTGTGCTGGAAAAACAACTCATTGAGACTTCTGCCTGGCTTTTCCACTCAGAATTCAGCTTGGTGGGTTTTCTTAAGTTGTTGTGGAAGGGTGTGTTGAGAGAGCCTGGCAAGAATGCTGGTGTCACTCTGCCATCTTGGCTCCTACTTCCCACCCCACCCTTAATTATTGCTTTAAAAGCTCTTCAGAAAATAGCTCCATCATCATATCTGTCTAGTCATGTGTACTATTTGACTTTAAAAAAACCAAAACAACCCTGAACCTGCTTCATTATTTAAATATTTTCTTAAGGCCCCCAGTCCCATCTTTCACCCTCTCTGCTTCCTTCTCGGGCTTATTTAAGCTGTCCAATATGCACAGAACAGCCTTTATTGCTCCTGCCACACCACCTCTCTTTTCCTTTAAAATTATAACTCATTAATAACCTCTTCCAAAAACATTTTGCCAAGTGAACCTTTGCTGTTGTCCAAATAATCTATTTTCAACACCTACTAAAATGTTTGGGACAATGGAATTGTTGGAATAAGATATGTATACATAGCTTACTTGTGTGTAAATTTGTAAAATAGGCAGTACTTCAATGGCACCTTCAAATTGGCAAAGTGTTTTACGTATGTTATCTCATTTGATCCTCAAACCTGTGAAGTAGGTGCTATTATTATCCCCATTTTGAAGATGAGGAAACTGAGGGGGAAAGAAGTTGAAAGTGATGTACCCAGGGTCATATAGCTAGAAAGTGTCCAAAAGGATTCAAATCCAGATCTTCCTGACTCCCAAGTAAAGCACCCTACCCACTGTGCATATATTTGTGTGTAAATATGTGTATATGTACATATATCATATATAATACCGTACTGTACAAAGACACACTCAGAGTCATTAGACTGCTTTGAAGGGTTATCACTCATTTGAATGTACATTATCTGCTCTGATTTTTAAAAATTAGATATTACTTTGTAGTCATCTCAAATTAAAATTCAACTTTAGGTACTTCTTAGATCCACTAACGTTCACGTTCAAATTGGTTCACATATTCGAGTATTTGATTCAAAATATTGATTCAAATGTTTTAAAGAAGTTTATTTTTAAGAATTCTTACAGAAATCACTAACTTGCAGCATTCCGTTTCTCTCTCTCTCTCTCACCCTCTCCTCTCTCCTCTTTCCTCTCCCTATTTTTGATATGCAAAATATGAAATTCCTCATGTAAGAATTCTCTCCCTCCCCCCTCTCTAGGAAGAAATTGCCAACCATACTAAATATTCTGAGATGTGTATCTGTTGTCAAAAACTGTCAATTTAGGGGACAAATAATTAGCATCACCTAGAATATCTTCTTTCAAATAAAAAAAAATCCACTTAGACATATAACCAAATGTTATTTAATATCTTAAAAAGTAACACAATCCAAAATGGATATTTCACACGACACTACATAGAGAACATGAACACAATATTACCATGTGGAGGGACTTTCAAATATAGACTTACAAAAATCCCTGTCCTTTTTTTTCCTTTTAAGTTATTATACTAAGCATGACAAGTAATCATCATTTACAATATGGTACACAGACACAATAAAAACCATGTTACAAATGTGCTGTTATAAATCAGTAACATTAGGGAAGACATTTCATGAGCTGTAATTATTTCATATGAAATACTATACAATATAAACAGAACATCCATCTTGGATGACCTTTACAGCAACCAGAGACCAAGTAAATTTTTAAAAATTTTTTTCAGTGCAAACACATTTATTCAAGGCAGTCTTGGCTGCAAAACTCCCTTCTAACATACAGTAAATCCCACTTGCGTTTCTTAACTCATTTAACCTAATGCAACAGTCACATTCAGTCACTCAGGGAAAGATACCTGCAGAATTATGATCCCTTAAAGTTAGTATTTAAACTGAAGTCTCATCTCTAAAATAATAGCTATGCCAACTACTCTAAGGACCTTCTTTATAGCTGTCATACTTACATGGAGGTGACCTTAGGGTGGCTCTATCCCCTAACCCAGCATGTGTGCACAATACTGCACATTAGTCTGCCCTTCCAATGTGGAAACATGTGGCGGTGTATCAGCATCTAGGTGGACATGGAAGGGGGGACAGGACACAGGGGTAATAGGAATGGGAGGATTTGTCTAGTGTGCACTTCAATGATTCTTTCACCTAACTGCAAAGGATGGATGTAAATCAGGTGAGATCTTCACAAGATCCCAGATTTGGTACCTCTTTTTGGTGGGAGCAGTAAAAGGAACAGGGGCACTGAGGTCAGCCCTTGGAATGGGGAGGCAGGGAGTGGGCGGAATTAGTCTGGAATTCCATGGTTTCCTCACCTCCTCCAGTCACCACTTCGGAAACATCCCCTGCCTTCAGCTGGTATGGTGGTAGATGTTCATATCTGAAGCCAAAATATTAAAGCCCTGTAATGGGTGTGTATGTGTGTGTATGTGTATCTATAGCTATTAGAAGAAAATTTAATTTTCAAATCTAAGTCATATTTCTAATCCACATCAGCCTTCTAGAATTCCAGTAGAATCCCAAATGACCCATGGCAATCTGATTATTTGGAAAAGCTATGGCACCTGTCTATCAGGATGGTGCTGCAAAGACAACTTCAACTAACTTGGCCTAGGAGATTCCAGTCCCTCATTCAACTATAAAAGTAGAACTTAACCATGGATTTTTAAAAATAGTCTAAAGTTGAAGGAGTATCTCCTAAATAAAAATCTCCCAGAAAAATAAGAATACTGAATGCATTCTTAACACTGTAAAGCTTTCTTAAGGAAGAAGAATGGGGAAAGCCAATCATCAGGTCCCAGCCAGTTGAAAGTATTTATTTGTTCACTTGGCAAAGGCATTTGATATTCATCTCTATTCAGCCCAACACCTTATTGAACGAAAACCAGATGATGTCTCTCAAAACCATATATGTGTTTTCAATATATTTAGGTTCCCCTAAACCTAACGTGCAGAGGAGAGCCACTTACAGACAGAAGAAGAATAAGTATAGACTGTCTTCTGTAAGCAGACAAGATGGTACTGGAGGTGGTCAACAAAGGGAACGCTGTGCTCTGGGTGCTCCCAAGTATGACAGCACATTGGACAGCTCTGTCAACTGGCCAATTGGAATTTGAGGAGCATGGAGCTGTTAAGGCTGTTTTTATCTCTCTTCTTTTAGAGGATGAGGATAACAACACCAGCTCCCTTCAGGAATCCAAATCCTCCAAAAGAATAGGCAGAAATGGATTGTACGGATTTTCCTTTGTGCCCAACAGCCCTGTAAAAAGTACTTGATAAAGTTTTTAATTAAAATGTGTATTGAGCACCTTCTACTGCCGAGAGCAGCCTTGTTCCTGAAGAATGTCATTGTGGCATAGAAGATGCAGAAGTTTAATATAAAAATCATAGATGAGGGAGTATGTCTAGAACTACCATTAGTTCAAGTGGGATATTTGGGGAGGGGTGTCAATTAATTTGTGTGTAGTTTTGCCTCATATTCTATAAGCTGAGGGGATGACATCAAATTCATTAAAAAACCCTGAAATCTCTAAGTAAAAATGGATGATGTAAAATATTATTTATTTTCTCTTTATTGACACTTAACAATAATAAATTGACATCTATTATTCACTTTATAGGGAGGGGAAAATCATTCCATTTAGTGCTTTCTCACAATGGCCTATCAATCCAATAGAAAAGAGATAATCAATAATCAATAGCTGCCCCTGAGGGTGATCTCAAGTCTCACTACCTGATCATTCTTTTCCCAAATAGGTGTTATAATAAAGAGCACCCACTATTTTTTGTTTGTTTAGCATTAGTGAATCTGAATGCTTTGGAAGCACTTTGAGATCCAAGGGGAACTGTGTGCAAAGTTCTTATCAATCATTTTTAGTAGGCTCCAAATGCTGCCTTTGTGAGACACATCAGGAAAAGTGTTGTTATTATGAGCAATATTTCTATAATTTAAGTTAAAAACTTTATTTTCAAGTACACTTTGTGGTAAGAAGTGGTTTTACCCCCCCCCCCACCAGGTAGATTTTTTTCTTTTTACATTTGCTACGTAGTCCCTCCCTTGGTAATGTCTGTGTGTGGGGAAGAAAAAATTCTTTTAAATGCTGGTTATGAAAAAGAGGGATTTGAGAATGGCTAATATACTGCTTAGCTTTTGATTTCTACACTTCAGGACAAAAACTCAAATCTCAAAATTTCAAAGCACAGTAAGAGGGATGATGATTTGTTCTCCCTCCTCCTCCAGCTACCTCTGTTTTGGCTCTTTTGCTCATGTCTTGATAGGATGGCACCCCCTTCTTAATCTACTCATTAAGGTACCCTGAGATGTGCACAATATAGAAAATGGCATACTATGCATGGTCTAGACAGAAAGTGAACAACTGAGGAAAAAAGAGTCCAGTGGGGGAAAGGGAGGGAGAGAGAATGAGACAGAGTGACAATGGAATGTACAACATAGCTCTCTCAAGTAAAGTGAAAATTTGACTTGATATGTTAGCATGCAAGTGAAGGCAGATTGGGGCCCAAAGTGCTTCAAAGTTGGCAGTTCAAATATCTGGTGTGTTTTCTTTGCCTTAGAAAACCTAAAACTCTAATTGGTGCAAATAGCCTGCTAAATCACACTTACCAACTATCTACCAGAAAAAAAATTTAGCAGGGATGGGGAAAAGAGACAAAAATTTTAAATGTTCTCTTGATATGAACAACAACTAAAAACACCCCAGTGAGCTTTCTTGAGGAGAAATACAAAGACTGAATCTGAAAAGCCAAACACAGTAAAAAAAAGGAATCATGAAAATGGGAGGGAAATGGTGACTTTAAACACAAGTGTCAACACACAGAGAATATATTGTGACCTGATGCTTGAGAAAGTTTTAACCTTGCTTTTTATAATACCCTTGAACACACTGCTGCCATTTCATTGAATTCATGGAGGTAGTTATATGTGAAAATAAAAATTACCATAAAGTAATATGTTGTATTATAATAATACATATTAAATGTGCAAAATACTGACAGATGTGTTGACCTTTTAAAAGTTGAACACACAGAGAGATTCAACCTAACTCAGTTCTGTAAACCTTTTAGTCGATATACAAAAAGAGAAGACCAGATAAGAAACCATAACAGAAAGCTCTAATCTCATGGAAGGAGTATGATGGTATCAGAAACTCTTGGAGAGAGGCCCAAGGGTTCGGTCACCAAGAACCTCAAGACAGAACAGCCTTAAGATACCATTGTAAATACATTTTTCCAAGAGTAAAAATTAAATACAGATGAGAATGTTTCTATTTGAAACTCCTGTTTACATTCCATTTTTTAAAAAGTCTATAATTTCAATACTAATGACTGCTGGTCTATGAGAGTTTTTTGAAGTCATATACACCATTTATCTGGCAAATAGTGTATAGGTTTCATTAGACTGTTAACTTCTTGTCTAATGCTTGACAAATTTTTGTTTTAATAAGTTTCTCTTAAATGATATTTTTCCTTTTCTGTTCATATACTATCTGATTTTTATAGTGGCTATTTTCAGATGACCAACTCGAGGTTAACATAGCATTCCAATGTTTCTATTCCTTATGAATCACAATAGCATGATATAAACTTCAAAGTATGTGTTTTTTTTTTAAGAAATGAATTTATGTGGAAAATTTAGTAACCGTATGGTATACAACTCCCCAAAGAAATGGACTCTGGAGTCTATTAGATACGTCATCATTCCTTCTGCACATATTTAAACATTGAGGCAAATGATGCATTTCTGAGCAGACATGGCATGCCATAGAGGAAATAAGGCATGAGGGTGAAGGCCCACTGGTTTAGGAGTCTACTCAGAAATGCAAGGGACTGTCTATTTGCAACATAAAAAGAAATTCTCAATCCCCAAAATAAGGAATTTGACCCATGTGCCTCTTAAATATCTGCAAAGGAATTAGAAAGTCCCTAAGTGTTTCAAGTTCTAAAGCAATTTGGAGGGGTTGGGGGGGGGAGGGAATCTACAAATTGCAAACAACCATAAAATAAAAGACTGTACAGATTTCTGTGATACCTGGTGGTTCAAATTATGATATTAAGACAGAAGTGTTTTACAAAATGTTATACCTGCTAACAAAATCTGAGATGAAACTGCAATTTTCATTTACAGTTAAATGTGTAATTCATTCATAATACCTGGCTGACCAAAAACAAAACAAAATGAACCCATCACAAAGAGAATCTTCATACTGTTATATATCACTGCCTTGCATCTCACATTGTATTTTTTTACAAATCATTTTATCATCTACATATTTCATTTGCTGTTCCAGTAAAAATCTAGGAACTTTCAAATACCATCCTATTTTGAGACTGAAAATGTGCTATCTTTGTAATAATACCTAAGCCGTGGAAAGGCATCTTTAATGCCTTGAACTGGAAACCAAAACAAAACATTAACAAACCATTTGTGGGAACAATATGGGCTAATGATATCTCTAAGCTTACCTAAGAGTAACTCCTGAAAGTTGGTACAATGTATCTGTAAACATTACTCTGGCGTAGTTCATATATGCATAATTATTCTGGAAAATTTTAGGGGAGTACAAATTATGTATATGCCACACCTGTAGAATGAGGGCCTCCTGCTCTTAATTACATGGGCACAATTCTATTTCCACTCAAATCGTATTTTTATATGTCCACAAATATCTTTCCAGGAATCAAAGGCCTGAATTTCAACTCTCCCTCAATTTGCTCTTCCATATAACCACTAAAGATTATTTTCCACAGCCTAATTTAGGCATTCTATTTAAAACTACATAAAATAGAATTATGTCCTTCCATTAGAAAGAAATAAACTCCTCAGGCCTTTTTCATTTGTATCACAAAGAAATTGCTTTTCATTTAAACAAATTAGTTATTTCCTCTATTATATTAAACTAGGAACATCATAAGTATCACAAGAATAAAATGACCTCCCTAAGATACATGATTTAATAGTTAGAAAAAAAAAATCCACATTACCTCTTCCATCACTTAGTGCTCTTGCTAAGCTAAGCTGGTAATTCCCCCTTCCTTTGTCCACTTCAAATTCAAAGGCCTATCTTCCTGTTTGTAGTTATGAAAAGTAAGGAATCAGATAAGCATCTGATATTCACCAAAACAAAACAAAACACACCCATTAATCCGAACACAATCCCTTCTGACTCACTTCCAAGGGCTCCTGCAAAAAGTGTGTCATGAGAACTCACAGTGAAAATGATGGGTGTCTAAATTCACAGACAGAGAAGGGCTGAGGTCCTTTCTAGTAGGGTTGGGCGTTGTGTTTCCTCAAGGTGACCTGTGCCTTTTATTTTATGCTTTCTGTGGTGGCATAACTTGGGGGAAATAAGTATGAAGGATCAGTTCTGTGGCACCGTTCAACCATGGACTAGGAGCATTATCACACATCTGTGGCATTTGTAAATGGAATTAGCAACCGCGTGACACCAAAAAATGCAGCTAACACCTACAGTGGCTAGACTCTGACCTATGTGCTCAGTTATGATCAATTAAGCAAAAGTATACACATTACCCCTACTGGGCTAGTCTGTTGCTACAAAGCCATAAACGTGAAAAACAATACTTGGAAATTAAGATTTTTTTTTGTTTTTGTTTCTGTTTTTTTTGTTTTTTGTTTTTTTGTCCTAGCCTACTTAGCAGCACAGTTTAAGTAAACACCAAAACTGTGGTGGAGATGCTTGTCTTCCCAAAGATGTAAACATCAGTCCCAATGTCGTAAACTTCACCATACAGGATGAGACAGAAGATTGGAGGAGGCAGAATGACTATCACACACTAGTAACAGAAGCTTGCAAGCAATTGGGTTTCGGCAACTTCTCGGCTTCATTTGCTGAGGGGTCTGCACTTGTGCGGAAGCTGAATGTTGGAGCGGCGCCCATGTGCGCGGGGCTCAGGGTTGGGTTTTGACGACGGTTACTTTCAACAATGCTGGAAGTGTTGGAAGCCAGGCTCTCACGGGTACTGGAGGAATATAAAAAAAAAAAAGTTTTCACATAAATAATTACGTATCGAGTGCCAGAGGAAGAGAGAATGATGTATTTAATGGACTTCCTCTGTTGGTTCGTAATGTCAGATCAATAAACTACCCCAACTTGATTACTCACATATGCTTCTTCAAAATGGATTCCAGAAGTTTTCACGAGTCAACATGTTATAATACTAGAACGTTAAATGGGCTAAAAGATTTCATATGGCTGAACACACAGTTGGATTTTTTTTAACTCAAGGAAACAACTTCAAGATGTCACGTGCTAGACAGACATCAGATGGATTTTTTTAAATACACATCAATATACATACGTAATGCCTTCATTTCAGGCTGGTATGTAAAGAGGTAAATACCACCAAATTGGTATCCTCAATGGACTCCAGAGAGTACATTTTCAGTCTGATCTTTGGGTCAAATTTTAGCCCTTATAAGTTCAAAACTTAAAAAAAAAAATCCATGATATGAATGATGTACCTATTCCTACCATGGACACAGATCAGAAACCTAAGCTGTGGCCCAGGACTCACCACCCTGCATGGCAGCCCATCTTCTGATGGGCTCTCCCTCCCCCAAAGATCTGGACTCTGCCTTGGAAGGCCGCCATGCAGTCCCCATTGCTTGGTATGTACTCAAACCATTCCACTTGGTAGGACCTGACTAAATAGCATAGCCCCCAAACTCATGCCAAGGCTCTAGGGGAGAACGTTACTTGAAATTAGTTCAAATATTGTTAAGGCAAATAAATAACATTTGGTTTTTTCCATTCAGTTGTGGGACATGTATTTATTTTTTCCTTCCTTTTTCCTTGGAGGATTCTATGTGCTAAAAATTCTTTAACAGCTTTGTTCAATTTTTTGGTTAATTTCTCAAGTTTAAACGGCTTGAAACTATTTCTATAACCCTAAGAGGGCTAAGACAATTAGTGAAAACTTGGTGGGAGATTACCAAAAAAAGAAAACCCACTTGGTTTAGTGTTGAGGGCAGCATTGCTTAGTGGGTTTCCATGTTTGAAGCCATGAAAATCTGTAAGTTTTTCAGCATGGTGAGAGAGGGTCTCCACCCCATCATACAGATGGATTTACTATTTGCTAAAGTGAAAAGCAAGGAAAAAACGAACATATTCTTTGGACCCATTGTGTGTGGTACATGTTGAAAAAGCTTTTACGCTCTACCCTCATCCCTGACATGAGAGAACACATAAAACTTATCCAATAAAACTGAGACTGGTTAAAATGTCACTTCCATCTGTGAGCTGCTCAAACCCCGTGCTGACAATGTTCCCTGCCTCCCCGTGGCTCCTGACCACACAAAAGTTTTATGTAATCTTGGCCCACATCTATCTAAGGATCCTCAGCTATCTGGAACTCCCTAGGTAAGATTCCTTCTCACACTGTTTCCTTACAATCCAATGTTCCCGGAATCTTTCTTGAGGAACAAAGGGGTAAATCAGATTGAAGAAGCTTGCTCACAGTCCACGTGGAAAACAAACACCACTTGGCCAAAATGCACGAGGTCCCTCCAAAAGTTAAAGAGGAAGGCCAAACTCTTTACTTTTTGCTGCTAATAACCTGAAGCCAGGGCTTAAAATCATATAGTTAGCATAAATATCTGGACTGATGGAATAGCCTTACACCAAAGATTCTTAGCCTTTCTCATATCATGTATGGATTCCTTCTGAGAATAACATTTTTGAATAATTAAACAGGAAATACTAAATTTCAGTTGCAAGTTACTGAAAATAATTTTTTCTGCCATCTCAGTTTAGGAACCCCCTAAAATTTATCAATGAACCCCTCTGAGGTCCTGTGAACCCCAGGTTAAGGACTTAGTGTTTCCCTCCTTCCCCGAAGAAATATGAACAGATTCCACTTTCTCTAATGGAGAGAGTAGTAGCATATTCAAAGCCTATGGATTACTTTGTGTCTACTTTGCCCTCACTCGAAACCCTTTCAGCCACATCAGTTACCACATGGAAGGATAAGGATAGGGGTATACTGGTATATTTAACAACCAGTTCTCCAAAAATAAAAAAATATACACACGACACACTTCAAAGTTTCATCTGTCGTATCAACATTTTCTCCATCACTTTAAGTTTAGGCACTCAGCAAAACAATACATCAAGCCTTAATCTGTAGTATTTGCCAATTTTTGAAGTGTAAATGTTGACACTGAAATTTTAACAATCAGCTCTCACAAATGGGTTGGCTTCAGTACAATCCTGGTAAGGATCAGAGAAAGAAGCCCTTCCCTAAAGAATTTACGAAATAGTGACATCAACTGAAATGCTGTTTTGCTGTTTTTCTGTTTTTGTTACACAGTGTATATAGCACAGGGTTTCTTTGCACAGAGCATTCAGAAAATGCTGAATAAATGCTAAATTTAAGATACCTAGATACGTTTCCTCTGTCCTTTGTTTGCTATTCTTTCTTCTTGCTCCCTACCCATTGCTACTTTTGAGCTGCTGAAATCGGAAAATTTTACCATTTCAGAGATAGATGTGGCCTTAAAGGAAATCATGTAGTCCAACTAACTCCCTAATGCACAAATAAAGAAACTGAGACCTAGAGAAGGAAGTGACATGTTCAAAGTCTAATAATTAGGGACAAAGCCAGGACTAGCCATAAGTTTCAACTCAAAATCTGGTGTGCTAGTAACTACAGAATGCTCTTGCACTATTGAAAAAAAACAGATTTATTAATTAAGCTTTCTATAGGGCAAGTGAAACTCTCAAATATTCTTAACCATTTTTGTATCAAGGACCCTTCTAACAGTCTGATAAAACCTGTGTGAATCCCTTCTCAGAATGTTTTTAAATGCATAAAATAAAATTACTTATTAAAGGCAGCTAGGTTGCACAGTGGAGAGAGCATGGTATCTGTAGTCAAGAAGACCTGAGTTCAAATCCAGCCTCAGATAAGATTACCTGTATGACCCTAGGTATGTCACTTAACCTCTGCCTGTCTCTGTTTTCTCATCTGTAAAAAAGAGATAATACTAGTGTCTACCTCCTACAGCGGTTACGCTACAGTAAGGCACTATAAAAATACTAGCTATTATTATTTGTCATCATTATTATTACTAAGGAAACCAACTATAATCAAATACAGCTATCAAACTATTATTTTCAAAAACAAAATCAAGTTTATGGACTCCAAGTTAGAAGCCATACTCTAGAGGGAAGATGATACAGAAGTGGAAACTTTACTATATGCTTTTATTGAGGCTGATAAATTTTATGAAGCCTAAATGATAATTCTAAACAGGTAGAATGGTATCAAATATATTCATTTAATTGCCTTCTGTATGCCTGACTCAGTCAAAGACTAGCCATAAAAGATCTCCTTCCATACTTCCTCCAAAGTAGCATTGGAACCCATTTCTTTTTTTTTTAACTTTTTAGGCAATTTGGGGTTAAGTGACTTGCCCAGGGATCATACAGCTAGTACGTGTTAAGTGTTTGGTCTGAGGCTGGATTTGAACTCAGGTCCTCCTGACTTCAGGGCCGGTGCTCTATCCACTGTGCCACCTAGCTGCCCTGGAACCCATTTCTTAGACTCCCCCAGGGTTGGCAGTTAGTCAAAGGGCAGGCAGCTAGCAGGATGGGTGGGGGAGGAGGGGAAGAAACAAGATGCTGGAGTGGAAAACAGCCTTAATATCAGAAGACCTGGGTTTAAGTCTCAATCCTAACTCTTCCTCCTTGCATAACATTAAGCAAATAATTTAACCTTGTGTTTAACTTCAATTTCCTCATCTGTAAACAAGAGTAGATTAAAAAAAAAAAAAGTCACCCTATGTCAGAGAGTGTGTTTTGAGGAACAAAATGAGGTAATGTGTACATAAACATCTGCTATTGCTATTAGGGGGAAATGGGGGGAGGGAAAACTGTTTTGTGTGGCCATGAGTTCCTGTCCCTGCAAATCCCTGATGTTTTTACCACATCCACAGCAAGGTCCACTGTGGTAACAGGAAAAAAAAAAAAGAGAAAGAAGAAAAATCCTATTCTTTCATTAAAGGAACTCTTGCTGTTCACCACCAATGTCTTGTCTCTGCTTCTAACTGTTTCAGGAACCAAGCAAGAAGACTAGAAACTAAGAGAAAATGATATTTCAGTACTATGAATCCCACACAGGAAGGAACGAAACAAGCCTTTATTAAGTGCCTATGTGCCAAGTTCTGTGCTAAACACTTTAGAAATGTCATTTAAACCTTGCAACAACCCTGCAAGGAAGGTGCTATTATAATCCCCATTTTACAGTTGAGAAAACTAAGGCAAACAGAGGTTAAACGACTTGTCCAGGGTCACACAGCTAGCAAGTGTGCGAGGCAGGATTTGAATGTGGGTCTTACTTATTCCAGGTCCAGTGCTCTGCATTAGCAGCAGAGCGAGGGGGAGGAAAAACTTAGGCTTCCAATCCTTGGCCCTCTCCTCAGGACCCTATCCAGTCTCAGCCCCCTCTTCTCTAGAGTCTCCAGCCCCTCTTCACACTCCTCTGCATAGATTCCCATTCTCCCAGAACAGGAAGGACACTTGAGTAACTTGAAATCTTTCATTGCTGGTACTACAACAGTGGAGTTTTGTGTGTGTGGTCTGTCCTTTGTCCTCAAAGAGGACCGTGACATCAGGGAGATGACGACATGACTTGCAACTGAATTGGATTTGAGTGATGGACAACAGTGGAGATGTGGGAATGCAATTCCACATCAGAACTCCGAGTACTTTCCCCATAGAAACATTAATTCCCAAGGTGACTGGGTATTATTTATAGATTTGTATTCAAGGTATGTTGTAGGTTAAATAAGGTAGATTTGGGGGATTTGGCATGGGAAACTAACTACCATGTAGTATAGCATCATTTTTCTGGGAAAAAGCATTCTAAATAGCAATCAGTGAATCAACAACGCTCTCTTTTATATAGGGCTTTAAGATTTGCAAAGTGCTTAACCTATGCGATTGTCTCGTTTGGTCCTT